GAACAAAACAACATAGCAACCAATAAAATATATCAAACAATTACAAAAAAAAAAAAATAAATAAAAATAAATCATTATCTGGATTAGAATTTTAGTTGAAATTTAAAAAATTATTAGTAGAAAGAAAAAAAAATGTGTGAGTTTGAATTAAAATTTTGATTTAATTGTATGCTCAATTGTAATGAACTGTCGACAAATACGCTTCAGCAGCAATTGTTAAACACTTCACCCAATTTGAGAGTTTTGCATTCACAATTATGATGATCGATGAGTATTTGGGTATGATTTTGGATAATAATTTTCTATTTAAGTATCAAGTTCAATTGGGTTGGATAAAATTTAAATTAATTGATTTTCAGATTTTTTTGTAGACTGTCTGGTGGTTTGAAACAATTTGCAAATATTAAAACCTAAATCAAATCACTTCAAAACAGTTTGGTTCTATTTATAATTGAAACGTTGACGGATCCACATGGATCCAAACCAACGATTTCAAACCAACAGTTTCGATTCGATTTTGCGGTTTGACGATTTTGTTGTTCAACCCCACCATCAACTAGGCCGAATGTTGAACTAGTAGATAAGGGTTAAACCAACGAATTGTTGTTTTTGTAGTTTTATTTTGAAAAAAAAATATATATAAGTTGGATTATCTTAATATATTCGATAATGATATTGTAACAAAGTTGATTGGCGGCTAATTTGATGATTGATTGATCCTATCCAATTTTTCGTAACAATGAGTTGCTAGAAATAATAAAGAGTTTTTAGCCATCTTTTAAAGACAATTATGATTGGATCACTTGATAAATTAAGGTTTAATGAATTGATTATTCATCTGTGACACGAGTTGAGTAATGATACCATCAATTGACTAACATTTTTTTTATTTTTCTTAAAAAAAAAAGGGGGTTTCACCATGGTATCGTTAAGAGAATAAGAAAGAAATCCACATTGGTTAAAAAACAAGATAGTCACGTCTTTATACACTAATTTATTATCCGATTATATAATTTGGCGAAGAAATCTAGGTTACACCATAAGCTATACGTATCTAGCCAATTTACATCCCATCCCAAAAGGCACATTGAATCACATGTTACAATTCACAAGTACAAATCAATATGAAACATAGACATCCATTATTCTACATTCATCATGTTAAGGTGAGCTTTGTTAAAAAGAAATGCTACGTAAATACCTCACTTCATTCACTTCGTAATTATTTTATTTTCATCTTAATTTAAGAAGCATTTTATTTAATTATTCTAATCAAGTTTAGACAATTTGAGTTCCCAAAAGCCAATTTATTCATAATTGTTATTAGTAATCTGTCTTCCCCCTTTTTTCCTATGAAAAGGCAAAAAAATTAAGTTGTCATGAGCATTCTCACTATCAATTATTTTCTTTTACAAAATGTAGCTTTTATGAAAAAATAAAAAAACTATATAATCATTGCTACTATCCACATTCATATATACACAACATTAATCTAAACCTAATTATTCAATTAGGGTCAACAATACAAATTTTTTTAATATCTACATTCATTTCTTAGGAGATATTTATAGATCTACTACAATTAGATCGTTAACAACAATACTACAAGCGCGCCTAATCTATAATGATTTTTGCTCGTTAGCACTTTAATCTGATTGTAGTTAGGGCGCCCCCTATCCCTTTTTCCATCTCGAAGTCAACTTTCTCGCTTGTTATTAAAGCTTTGAAATCCCTACTTATAGAAATTCTAAAAAGCACAAGTTTAAACTCTATATGAGGGCTATTCTCAATACCTCTTTGATGATTGTTGATTCAACATTAATTCACAGTTGAATTGGATTTCTTAGAATAGAAAATTATCCATCAAGTCAAGTAATTCGAAGAAAATGCATATTATGATTCATCTTATAAATTTGATATAAACTATCGAATTGTCATCCTTTACTCTAATTAAGAATTGAATAGAAAAATATGAGAAAATTAAAATATCAACCTTTAGATGATAAATACGAAAAGGTGATACATAGAA